CAAGAAACCACCCATGTCTTTTGAAACCCAAAAATAAAGGATGCAGAGGGCATCGACTATACCATAAATTATCGCAATCGTATATACGCTTCAATCAAGCCGAAAAACAACTGCAATCTTGGAGGGAAAAACTGTATCACAGTTGTCCTTGTTTGCAAGCTCGTTACATCGTTATTTCTTCAACTGGTCAAAACATGTGTGAACCAGCTTTAAAGCCACCAAAACCTTCAAAAGCCCCGCCTGTTGAGGGCGATGGCCGGTGTCGCTTTTTTGTAGCCAAAAAGAACCGCTACTGTCCATTTGCGACCAAAAGCAACAGCAAATACTGTGGTGAGCACATGGTTGGAAAGCAAAGCAACCTCCTAGATGCCAATGCAAACGTGCCAAACACTCGCGTACCATGTCCCTATGATCCGTCACACTCAGTCGATCTGCACAAGCTAAAAAGGCATATGGCCGCGCTTTGCAATGCGCGTCCTCCAGAGATCTGGCCTACATACACAGCGCCCGACTGCAACGTCGCGCTGCTCCCGCCTGGCTACACGCACGACTCGTTTGAAGAGGCCGGTGCCCTTTGGAAAGAAGAAGGGCTGGGAAAGGCCGATCCGCGTCTAATGCTGAAGCCCGGTGATCTGACGTATATGAGCGCTACCTCGCGCGTGTTCAGCGACTGGGCACCGCCAGAGGCGAGCACTAGCCAAAAGCACGAGAAGCAGCCGCTGGATCGACAATCAGTGGAAAGGCTGCTGAAGCCTGTGGTGCTCTCATATCTGCGCTCTGTCGAGGAACTGTCTGCAGAGAGCGATGCAGAACAGTGTTCTCTGAGCGAACTGCTTATACGGGTCCGCTGCTCCGAGGAGTTCCCAACAGATGTGCGCTCTCACTCTGCGCTTGACCACAAAAGACTGATCAAGGCCAACCAAAAGCATGCACAGCAACAGGCTTCAATCGTCGGTCACCTTGAGAAGCGAGGGCTTCTGGATTCCAAATATGCGTTTATCGAGTTTGGCTCTGGAAAAGGCGAGCTTTCTGTATATGTCCACGCCGCTGCTGTCGCTGCCAATCCCGACACAGCACCAGACAGCCACGTTTACCTTGTGGACCGCAAGGTTTTTCGGCAGAAATTCAAGGCTGACCAGCAAGACAACGGTGTCCAGAAGACCCAAGACCACCGAGACTCCAGCCAGCAACTCGAGCGTATCAACATTGATATTCGGGATTTTGATTTGGCCAGCCTCGAAGGCTTGCGCGCCACAGACCCCTTGACCGGGAACCCTGTGTTGCGCCCGATCATTGCCTACTCAAAACATCTGTGCGGCGGCGCCACGGATCTGACGCTAAAATGCCTCGAGCGCTACCAGCAGGCTGGGGGCCACATTGCCGGTGTTGCCATTGCTCTCTGCTGCCATCATGCCTGCAGATACTCGATGTATGTAGACCATGAGTACCTGTCTACCGCGGTTGCTAGCCACTCGACAGAAAGTAGCCAGTGGAGCCACGACCAGCGAAGCGATTTTAGGCATCTTGCTTCTATGACGGGCTGGGCGATAAACTTGCCACCGCCCGTTAGCCCAGGCTCTGCCTTTGAAAAAGACTCGGAACCGGCGCATTATTCCGGTTTGTCATATGCGCAGCGCGTCTGCGCTGGCCACGCTGTAAAGCGCTTTCTGGACATTGGACGTGTCCGGTTTGTGCGTCGCCAACTGGGCATGGACGACGCAGAGCTTGTTTATTATACCTTGCGCACCACCTCTCCTGAGAACCTGGCTCTTTTTGCCACTGATCTTAAAGACTGAATTTTATTTTTAACTTTGTTTACAAAGTGCGACGGTCTTTGGAATTCTGTGATCAGCGGTCCTTTTCTTTTTGTTTTTGTTTTGTTTTCTTTTTCACAGTTGCTTTGAATTGGCGGACCGTGTAGACCACCATGTGTTTTCTGCATCCCACCGCGTGCATAGATATAGGAGTCGAAAAAGCATGTCGATCATCTTTTGTGTGCATCATTTCAGGCAGGAACATAATAAACAAAAGACGGTTTGATCCACTTTTTTAAATGATAAATGATGCTCCTCGATGCGAAATGTACGTTTCGGGTTTGAAAGAAAAAAGCAAACCTGTATATGGGTCTTTTTTATTCTTTCTTGGATAGTTTCTCTTGAGATAGACGGTTTGAATAGCGACTATGCCCCTCTTTTTCTTTGCCATCTCTCCTCTTCTCTTTCTTTCTTTCTTTCTTTCTTCACTACCTCTATTCCTCTTACCTATCCGCCTCTCATTAACCGCCCGCCCTAACATTAACAGACGTTCTTTAGCACCTTTTTTACCTTCAACGTCTACCCACACCTTTCACTAACACCCTCTACAACACAGAACCAAGTCATCTATAATGAAGTTTACTGTCTCGACTTTTGCTCTCTGCGCCGTGCTTGCCTCTGCTGCCGTCAAGGCTCAGACAATTGATAACGGCATTGGAAACGCCTTGGCGATTGTCAACGAAAAGGCTGGCTCAAAGGACATTGGCTCCTCTGCCAATGCGACCACTGAAAATGGCAGCGCTAACACTGAAGACGATGCAAAACCCGATGGCAATGGCAATGGTGATTCCGGCAAGGGCAATGGCCGCGACACCGAAGACAATGGCTCTAGCTCCGTAGCCGATGACAGTGCTTCCACTACTGCTGAGGACGTTACCCCTCCAGAGGCCACCAAGACACCTGGTGGTCAGATTGGTGACTCTGGAATCAGCATTACCAACGAGAATGCTAACAGTGGTAGCAACAACAGCAACAGCAACAGCAACAGCAACAGCAACAGCGACAGCACCACCTCCAACTCTAACAACAATGCTAGCTCGGGCGAAAACTCAAACGGCAACGCTAGCTCTGGTGACAACACCACTTCCAACTCTAGCCAGGGAAACAGCTCCAGCGACAACACTAGCTCTAGCAACGGCTCAAGCAGCAATGCCAGTTCTGGCGTCAACTCGAACTCTGGTTCGGGTTCGGGTTCGGGTACCGGTTCTGACTCTGACTCTGACTCCAGCAACGCTGCTGGTCAGAATGGCAGCTCTGACGCTGGCGCTTCTGGTGATTCTAGCAACGGATCTGTCGGTTCCTCTGGATCGAGCTCATCAGCTGCTGCTGGAAACGGCTCTGATGAGGAAGAAGCAGAGCTTGGCAGCGAGCAACAAGAAGCTAACGAGATTGACAGCAACGAAAGCGACGATGACAGCTCTGATTCCGACGACTCTGATTTCTCCGAGGAAAGCGATAGCGATGATATCTCTGACGATGAGGACGACAGCAAGTCTAGCGGTGCTGGCTCGATCATCTCGACCATGTCCTTCACTGCACTCCTGATTGCTGGTGTTTCTAGCGCTTTGTTCTAAATTTAGTGTTTAAGATCACTTTTTCTCCTTTTCCTAACTAAACTGAATTGAGTTTTTTTTATTAAAAAAAGAGCCTGGCCCAGTTTCAGAACAAGTATCGTTACTACATGTAACCTCTATGACTGCCGTTGATAAAATTCCTACTATTATTAGCCAGCTAACCCGGCAACCTCAGCCATTCCTTGTCACCTATGCTGGAGCGATACATCTTAAGCAACAAGCTAACGGGCTGACAAGCTAAAAGTTTATATGTTAAAATGGGAGTGTAAAAAAGGTCTTTGTTGTTTAAGAACCGCGAAAGTAAAATTTAAAACAACGCTTGGAAATGCAAAAAAAATTGCCCCCTGCCGGGATCGAACCAACGACCTTCAGTTTCCTAAGGGTTACAAGACTGACGCTCTACCACTGAGCTAAAAGGGCTTCTGTCTTTTTTTAAAATATATCAATGACAATTGTGACCTGCCTACCGCTGGGTCACCTGACGCTTCGCCGGTTCTAGTTGCTATTGAGCGACCCACAGAACCTACTAGATCCGATAATGGCAGCATATCAGTGGTTGTACGCGGCACCCGTCGCACTCACTAAATGCTGGGTTTTGCTCATAAACTCTGTTATTTGTACTATTTACCCTCTGACTCAGTTGAACAATCTATCTAGCCTTGACAGGTATAAAAACAGCGTTTTTAGGCATTATCCTGGACAAACAGGACAGGAATATCTGGCTTCTAGTTTAGTTTTGGTCTGTTTCCGTTTGTGTCATTTTTGCTTTTAAATACAACAAATATTATTAATACGAATATCCGAAATAGCGCTAATTCTTCTACGCGCTCTATTCTGTTTATTTTTCTAGTGACCTTTTGTCGCCTTTGCCAACTTGCGGTGAGGCCTGACAACAAGCGAAAGAAAAATCGACTGGAATATAAATATGTATGCCATGTAAATAAATCTGTTGATTGCATATTTATTTAATTTTGCGATTTCATACTCCCACCTATTTGGACGTTCCGTCTAAACCATAAAAGCAGTATTTTATGCCTCAAGGAGCAACAAAACGCTGTTTTTGTTAATTATTAGACATAATCTGATTAACTTGTTTACATTTCTTTATATCTTCATCGACACTTGCACATAGTACTCTTGTTCTCTTCTTGACTCCTTTTATATGCGTATATCGTAATATTATCTTTTTACAGTTGTTATAAACATTAAACCATCCTAATTATTTGCACCAGCTATATTTTGTTGTGTATATTTATTATTTATATAGCCGTTCAACCACTTTTATTACTATTGACTATTCGTAACTACGATGGTATTATACTAATGAGTCCAATAATATTTGTAGGTTATCATGCTTTGTATCGAATATATGATGTCTAAACGCTAAATTATCCGAGAAACCACAACCATATAGCACCAGTAAACGAGAAAATGCGCAATTATATTGACCTCGACACAAAATGGAAAGAGGTTTATAAAACAAATCGATTAACCCCCCGCTAACTCGTCTGTTAATCGTATAGATATCGGTAACTGATATACGCTTAATTTACAAATCCGGCAGAGCAGGTAATTTGGCTTTACAAACTTGCAAAAATATCAAATAACGCGGGCTTTTTTAGCACAGTGGTAGTGCGTCAGTCTTGTAACGCTTAGTAAACCGAAGGTCTTTGGTTTGATCCCCACCATACAGCGTCACCTCGACCTACGTGTACAGAGCCTTTATATCTTCAGTCATCTTGCTAATTACTGAATGGTTTTTCTAAACTGATTTTTTTGGATTGCCCTTACGTGTGTGACCTAGACTATGCTCCCAGATCACAGTCAGAATTTCTGCTTGAGCTTGAGTCACATGTAGCGTATCTTATGCCGTTAATGCCGACGAGTGATGTCCATGTCTTACGCGTAGGCCGCGTTTTATTTTTGTTAAAATAATAATGATAATAATATAAAAACTTTAATTACTTTTTTGCTTCCTCTACGGACCGAGGCGTATCTTGCTTGCCTGAAATGTTGAGCGATCTCATAATCTTTGTAAGTCCGGATCCTGGATGCTGGTTCTGTGGTGCGGGCTCGCCGAGATTGGAAGGTCTGTCTGCCAT